GTTAGGTCTTTTATCTTAAGAACAAACCCCAATTTTTTTCTTAATTTATTTTTTATGTGCATTGGTATTTTGCCTGCATGTATGAGGATGTCAGATCCCCTAGAACTGGAGCTACAGGCAGCTGTGAGCTGCCATGTGGGTGCTGGGAACTGAACCCAGGTCCTCTGGAAGAATAGCCAGTGTGCTTAACCACTGAGCCATCTCTCCAGCCCCCCAATTTTTTTCTTTATCAATGTGTCCTAGAACTAGATGGAAATAAAGTTGAATTGTTTAAGCTTCTTTTGTTGTGAGGGACCAAGACACACCAATTTCTTTCTTTCGCCTCTTCTGTAGAACCTCTGTCTCTAGCCCTTTTCTCTGATGTGATGCTGAGAACCCTGGGAACTCATTCTTAATGAGGGAAGTGTTCTACCACTGGGCTACATCCGGTATAGAAAGAGCATAGATACACTATTTCTTTCTTCCTTTCTTTTTGCTTTTTGAGACAGGGTCTCTCTGTGTAGCCCTGGCTATCCTGAGCTCTGTAGACCAGGCTGGCCTGGAACTCAGAGATCTGCTTGCCTCTGCCTCCCTGGATTAAAGGCCTGTGCCACCAAGCCAGGCTGATATTTGTTTGTTTGTTTCTTTTTTTTTTTTTGAAGATTTATTTATTATGTATTCAGTGTTCTGCCTACATGCCAGAAGAGGGCGCCAGATCTCATTACAGATGGTTGTGAGCCACCATGTGGTTGCTGGGAATTGAACTCAGGACCTCTGTAAGAACAGCCAGTGCTCTTAACCACTGAGCCATCTCTCCAGCCTGATATTTGTTTCTTTTGCTTGGCTAACCTCTTTGCACTGGTTCTTCAGGCTTCCGTGTTATTTAAAGGGCCAGCCATACTTTTTTGCTTTTATGAAACAGGACCTCACCAGGTAGGCTGTGCTGGCTTCAGCCTGTCATCAGACTTTTGCATGCTAGGATTATGGACATGCTCCTCTAATCACTGGAACAAAAAAAGGTTGCTTTATTTGTGTGGCTCTTTCTGTCTCCCACCACTGATCAGGTTGTGTCTGTTAGAGCTTGCACAAACAGATACCTAGCATTTGCTGAAAAAATAAATTACACGATACTACACCTGCTTAATTTTAATTGGTTCATTCCTGACTTTGACTGATCTGGTAAGCAGGCACTGAATTTTTTCTTAGTGTCGTGTGGGGTACTAAATGCGAGTACATAAACTCCACAACTGTGTGCTGAGGGGGATGGGAGGACAGAGCTGGACTAGTGCCTCCGACTCCAGTGTGCAAGGGGTTCACCCAAGGGTCTCACACTGTGCATCCTTGTTAGTAGGTCTGTGGTGGAGCTCAGGAGTCTACATTTCCATCAGCTCTCAGCTGATGGCCCTGGTCTGTAGAGCATATTGACAGGATTACTAAAAATCCAACTTATAACCAACTATATGCTCCTTTAAGTTATATAATCGGAAACATGCTTCAATTGCAGTGTTTTCCAGATTCCTTTTTTTTAGCGTAAGGAACAGCATTAATCACTGTATTTCCTGTCTTTATTGTTTGTAGTGCTGGAGGCTGGACCCAGGCTTTACACATACTAAGTAAGTTCTCACCACTGAGCCATGGGCCTGGACCCTCAACTTTAAAATTATTCTCTATCTTCTTGAGTCTGTTTTGGGTAATGGGGCTTGGTTCCTACTCTAAAGGCTGAAGGTTCCTCAGCCTTGAAATGGGTCAAGAACACTTACCTATCTCATTAGACTGCTTTCAGGATAAACAGGATAATGTTTCGTACAAGTTGTCAAGCACTAGACAACTGTGTTTACACACAGGTAGTGCAAGAATTGACAGCTGGAAAAATCAACAGCTCTCTATGCTTTGTCATGTAGTTATTGTTATTTGAGACAGGGTCTCATATGGCCTAGGCTATCCTTGAACTCACTAGGTATGTAGCCAGGGACGCCCCAGTCACTATGAAGTTCTTTGTTAATAAAATGGACATCTCTCTGTCCCCTTCCCAAAGGGACAGCTTCTGGTGCCCTGACCTTTTCAACTTGACGTGTTCTTCATCTTTACAGTTATCTTTCAAATTGTCACTAAATTCAACTAAGTTTCCTTGCAATTAGGTCCCCCCCGCCCCCCCCCCCCGCCCCCCCCCGCCCCCCCCCCCCCCCCCCCAAGACTGGGCTTCTCTGTGTAACAGCTCTGGCTGTCCTGGAACTCGCTTTGTAGACCAAGCTGGCCTGGCCTTGAATTCACAGAGGTCCACCTGCCTCAGCCTTCTCAGTGCTGGGATTAAAGGTGTGCATCACCACGCCGGCCTGCAATTAGTTTTTTTTTTTTTTTTGGCTTTTTCGAGACAGGGTTTCTCTGTGTAGCTTTGCGCCTTTTCCTGGATCTTGCTCTGTAGACCAGGCTGGCCTCGAACTCACAGAGAGCAATCAGTTTTTACAACTATTCCTTCTTTCAGTATTAAACTCCTTGAGTTTATACCTCACCAGTATGTACATTCGACAAACATTTCCTAGTTTGAAAAGTTCACTGAATTCTTTCCTTTATATTTTACTGTTAACGTTGGTAGTATAAATTCTTCTACCACTAGGTATTTAATGTTGTGACTAAAAATGAGGGGCAAGTGTTGCAATTAGAAGTGTGAGCCACCACATCTGGCTAGCGTTCTGTGATCGGTGTCTGCCAGGAGAGGGCGTATGTGGAGCTCTAAGAGTGTCCAGACCGAAGGAGTTAACCCCTCGTTGAGAAGATTCAATTATACTCCTTTTCAGCAGTGGTGATTGATCTCATTTCCTCACACACAGAGGCAAACGCTTTACCAGTTGAGCTCCAAGACTAAGCACCAACTTTGACTTCCTAAGACTTAAAAAAAAAAATTTTTTTTTTTTTTTATATGAGAGCAGATTAAAATAACTTTAGCCGGGCGGTGGTGGCGCACGCCTTTAATCCCAGCACTCGGGAGGCAGAGGCAGGCGGATCTCTGTGAGTTCGAGGCCAGCCTGGTCTACAGAGCAAGATCCAGGAAAAGGCGCAAAGCTACACAGAGAAACCCTGTCTCAAAAAACCAAAAAAAAAAAAAAAAAATCTTTAGGGGCTGGAGAGATGGCTCAGAGGTTAAGAGCACCGACTGCTCTTCCAGAGGTCCTGAGTTCAATTCCCAGCAACCACGTGGTGGCTCACAACCATCTGTAATGAGATCTGGCACCTTCTTCTGTATACATAATAAATAAATCTTTAAAAAAAAATAACTTTAAAGGTCCCCTCAGGTTCTTTCTGTAAAAAATTTGAAATAGAGTCTCAATATGTAGCCCAGAATGGCTTTGAACTTCCTGTGACACTCCTGTACCAACCTCCTCCCTAAGGCTGGGATCACAGAAGGGGCCACCAGGCCTGGTAAGATTTGCCCAGGGTCTGGGAGATACATGGACAAGGGCTTTTCTTGGTGTTCACTGAATGGAGCAGAGCAGGAAGGAGTCACGGGATCAGAGGCTCTGATGTCTAGCTAGGTGCGACTGGGGTGGTTCAAAGAGTGTGAAAAACTACCTCGCTACTCTAAAAATAAATAAATATTCATTGCTTTTAAAAAAATTAAGTACCCCAAATCTTCTGGGGGTAAAGTGCTCAATCTAGTCCTTTCCTCTATCTTCTCGGCTGGGATTTAGAACTACGTGGCTCAAAGAATGTTTCCAGAGAGGTAGATGCAGAAACAATTTTGGGCTTAAAGTAAGAATTTTAGGTTTAGTTTATGGGTTTAGCGTTTGTTAGCTATATGGCACAAGATAAGCCACTTAATTTCTCTGAACCTGAGTTTCTATAGAGTAAGTCAAGAGCCTCCACCTACCTCACTGGACAGCTTCTAGGACAAACAAGATAATGTTTGTGTACATGATTAGCAACCAAGTATTAGACACTTGTGTTTACACGAACATAATGCTCTAAATGTCACTGGGGCAAGTCAACGGCTCTACTTGTAATTCTTCTGCTTTGTATTTTGAGACAGGTTCTCCTGTGGGTCAGGCTGGCCTTGAACTGCAGCCAAGGCTGAACCTGAAGTCTTGTTCCTCTTGCCTCCACTTCCTCATCCATCACACACACACACACACACACACACACACACACACACACACACACACACACACACACAGTGCATTTGGAAGTCAGAGGGCAATTGTGTAGAGTTGGCTGTTTCCTTCTATCTTTACATAGGTTCCTGAATGTGGACTCAAGGTCATCAATCTTGTTGGCAAATATTTTACCCTCTAAGCCATCCTGGCCCTATTGTATTTATTACTTTATTGAGACATGGTCTCTTGTGTCCTAGACTGGCCCTGAACTTCCGATTTTCTTGTTCATCTTCCAAGTTCTGGGACTGCAGGTGTGCGCCACGGTGCTCAGTCTATGCGTGCTGGAGACTGAATCTATAGCTTCCTGACCATAGGCAAGCACTCTGCCAACTGAAACAAATTCTCAGCTTTGTCTTTGGCAAAGAAGGCTTTGCCAGTCATCTGTCACTCAAAGCCTCCTATGTGCCAAGCCCCACGGTAACGCCCCAGGATGGGCCTTCACGGAGCTCTTATTCCGGCCGGCATGGATTCATGTTACACCGTCACTGCAGCGTGCAGGAGAGCACCGTGGTGGGGCTGGAGGGGGTTCAGGGCTCAAACACTGACCAGTTGTGTAAACTGAAATCTAGCAAAAAAGATTTAAAGTCATTCCTCTAGAAGTCAAATGCACGGAAAGTAGAAACAAGAATGGTGGCTGCCAGGATGTGGGAAGAGGGGAATGCAGCACGAGTGGTCACTGAATGAATCCCGACTGGAGAAGATGTAAAAGTCGAGAGACTGTAGGCGGTGATGGTTACACAACAGTGTGCTACTTCAGCCCGCGGAACTGTACTGATGAATGGCCAACATGGCAGACTGTATGTTATCCCTGTCTTACTGATTGTCAGGAAGAAAATGAAAGACAACCCATCAAACCTTTCTGTGTGTACTCACGAAGGAGCTATATCCAGATGGTTGATGCTAAACCCAGAAGAGGCAAAGCCTCCTAGCGTCGTGGATATGGTCAGGAATGCAACAGCCAAAGAATAGTCACAGCCGATAAATCCAGCAGCGACCAGGAAAACCGCAGGGCCGACCATTCCTGGAGTCGCGGGGTTGAAGGAGAAAAAGAAGCGCCATTATTGTATTTGTTCTCTTTAAAACTGTAGAAACCTGAGTTGGATGGTGCTGCCACCTACTGTAGAAACACTGAACTGCCTGGAAGGCCCAAGGGCCTCCGTTACCTTTCATCACTAGAAAGCCTGCCCTTCCGGAAACAGGGGCTGTAAGCGTGGAATAAGAAACGGAAGTCCTCCCCCACCCCCTGCAGTGCTAGTCACTCTGCACATGATAAGGACTCAGTCTGCAGCTACAGAGCTGGCCCTCAAGGAGGGAAAGACTGAAAAATAGGGCTGAGAGGAGAAGCCAGGGCCGATACAGAATGTGATTAAAATTCACATAATCCAAGTAGATAAATAACACAGTAAACTCTCCAGGGGGCTGGAGGGAGGGCTCAGTGGCAAAGAGTGCTGCTTCCTGCCCTTCCAGAGGACCTGAGTCTGGTTCCTAGCACTCATGCTGGGTAGCTTACAACCATCTGTAACTCCAGCTCTGGGGAGATCCGGTGACTTATGTAGTGGCATATACTCGTGTGTGCGTGTACACACCCAGACACCCAGACAGACAGACAGACAGACACACACACACACACACACACACACACCTCAGAAAAATAATAAGCTTTGTTGGATGAAGTTGGAAATGTGATCCCTTGGTTCTAAGAATTATAACCAAGAGCATATGCCTTACACAGAGCAGGTCCACAGAAGAAAAAAAAAAATCAGACTCAGCCCAAAGGGAATTATTTCATTTAAAGATGTGCAATTTAAGTCAGAGCAGTATTTGAACAGTATAACATCTCCTATAGTGGGTGCTCAGCAGGTGCTTGTGGAATTTACGAAGAATGGGTTCTTTCACAGTATGCCTTTAAAAAAAAAGATTTATTTTATGTGTATGGGTGTTTCACTTGCATGTAGGTCTGTGCACCGTGTGTGTCTGGTGCCCATGGGGCTAGAAGAGGACATTGGATCCCTTGGAACTGGAGCTCCAAATAGTTGTGAGCTGCCTTGTGGGTGCTTCCTCTGGAAGGTCAGCCAGTTCTCTTAATGGCTGAGCCATCTCTCCAGTCCCCAAATTTGTATTTATTTATTTAGATAAAAATCTTACTATGTAGTTCTGGACTGCAACTTACTATTGTAGACCAGGCTGGCCTCAAACTCACTGAGATCTATCTGCCTGCCTCTGCCTTAATCTGGGATTAAGGGTGTATACCACCATGCCCAGACCAAATTTACTTAAAACATGTTACTTTTATGTATGTTGGGTTCTCTGGTCCCTGCAGAGGCCAGAAGAGGGCAGCAGATGCCCTGCAGGTGGAGTTACAGGCAGTTGAGGCTGTGGGAACCAAAGTCAGGTTTCATATGTGAACAAGGTAAAGGATTATTCTTTTCTTTGGCTGCCTTGGCTACTGTGATATGAAGAGACATGCATTCTTTTTTTTTTTTTTTTTTTTTTTTTGGTTTTTCGAGACAGGGTTTCTCTGTGTAGCTTTGCGCCTTTCCTGGAACTCACTTGGTAGCCCAGGCTGGCCTCGAACTCACAGAGATCCGCCTGGCTCTGTCTCCCGAGTGCTGGGATTAAAGGCGTGCGCCACCACCGCCCGGCGAGACATGCATTCTTGCTCTATACTCTTGCCTTATTGCCTCTGGAACTTCTGGAGTGATTAAGATTGTCTTTTGTTTGCTAATAACATGACTAGTAACATTGGGACCAGTGGCCCTAGACAGTATGTTTTTCCCAGTATTTTGAGACAGGGTCTCAGGTAGCCCAACCTGGCCTCAAACCAGTTACATATTAGAGGAAGACCTCGAACCTCTGATTCTGCTGGCTCTACTTCCCAAGTGCTGGGATCACAGAGATGTACCACAAGGCCTGGTTCTCAATGTCTTTTTCTTTTTGAGATGGAATCTCATTAAGTTACCTAGTCTGGCTTCAAACTCTTGGCCTCAAATGATCCTCTGACCTCAGCCTCCCCAGTAGCTGGGACTAAAGTATGTATAATGTTGACTGGCTATCAAAAAGACCAACCAGTCTTTGAGGAGGAGATAAAGGTGGGTCTGAAGTTTGAGTTGATCATAATGGCCACTGATTTACTCAATCATGCTGGCATAATGAAGCCTCCACAGAAACTCAAAAGGACAAGGTTTGGGCTGCGTGTGGTGGTCCAGGTCTGTAATCCCAGCTCTTGACAGTTGGAGCAGTTAGGGTGTGAATTTTGAAGCCAGACCCAGTTAGTATAGCATGAAGAATCTGTCTTAGAAACAAGCAACTAACCAGGTAATCAGGTCTGTAATCCCAGGACTCAGGATGGCGAAGCAGAAGGACTACTTTGAGTTCCAGGCCACCTGAGCTATAGAGTGAGTTCCAGACTTGCCTGGCCATATGGTTAGATTCTGTGTCAACAAACAAGCAAACCAATAACCAACTAACAACAGAGCCAAAAGAGAAAGATGAGGTTTGGATGAGCTTCCGAGTAGCAGAACTCCAGTGGAGGCTCCAGTGGAGGTCCCTGGGGCACGGTGTACCTATGAAGGGAGGGTGAGGCAGTTCCACAGCCCTAAGGAATGTTCTATGTGGCTATTCATTTGTGCCCCTTTACAATGAGTGAGTAGACAGAAATAAAGTCTGTCCCCTGAGTTCTGTGAGTCAGTCTAGCAAATTAACTGAACCCAAGGACAGGCCATAGGAACCCTAAATTAAAAGTATAGGTCACAGTCCAGTTCTTGTGACTAACCTCTAAAATGCAAGAGGGGGTCTTGTGAGACTCAGCCCTTACACCCAGCTTGTGTGCTGAAAAACAGGTTGTGTGGAGGGAAATCTCATATTTTATGGATCAGAGGGAGTTTTGGTGTCTTATGGACATAACTAGGAAAAAAAAAAAAAAAAAAACCTGATTCATCTCACTTACCCACAACAGTAAAAATTCTCCGAACACTTATAGTTGAAAAGTTCCACTTGACCCTTAAGTAATCAGCAGCTTGGCCACAGAGAATCATGCATATCCAACAGCCAAAATAAGGCAATGCAGATAAAATCCCATTCTGAAAGTGGGGAGGAGATACAGGGTTAATTATGGTAGAACACGCACACTAGTCACAGCCAACCCTAACTACTTGAAAACACCACACATATGGTGGAGCAACATGTTGATAATGTTCACATATCACAGAAAGTACGTTTCGCATTTGCAGGGATCTCAAAACTCAGTTTACCCATCCCTGTGATAGCCGGTCTCACGGGAAAACAGGGTATTGTGGATGCTACTTTCTTTCTTTCTTTCTTTTTTTTTTGAACTGAGGATTGAACCCAGGGCCTTGTGCTTGCTAGGCAAGCGCTCTACCACTGAGCTAAATCCCCAACCCAGGATGCTACTTTAAATTTGGAAAGTCTTCCAATCAGCCTGCACTGCTTCACAGAGAACAAGCTGTTTTTATTTCTTGCCTCCACCTCCCTAGTCTGTGTACCCACCCCCAGCTCCAGAACACTTTTAGTCTCCAAAATTTTATTTAAAATGATTTTTATTACAAAATCAAATGCATAGTTTAATACGCTGGAGATTCAAAAGTCAGTTATGACAAGTAGAGCATCGCCAGCTACCCAGACATCCTGTCTAGACTAGTCTCAACTCCACCTCTTCCTATAAACAAGCACCACTGAGTCACAGTTACAAACATTCACCTACAGTTATCACCCCAAATATGTGGGTGTCCCTAGACACTTTCATTTGGTACTGACTAAATTAGAATGGCATCTTCACTTACTTAAGAAATGTTCATCACGGGCTACCTACAGCCTGCTCTTTAAGGAGGCATCCTCTCCATTGAGGCCCTCACCTCTCAAATGCCTTAGCTTGTGGACATAAAAACCAGCTAGCACAGAAGGAAATGACCGAATTTAATTTGGGTGAAAAGGAATTGTGTGTGCAGTTCAGAAAACACGTTCTCTACACAGGAAGCAGATGACCATTTTCTCTTACCTCTTGAACGTTGAACCTTAGGATTTCTTTCATATAAGTGGGCAATAATGTCAGTAACGTATAAAAGGTCCAGTTGTAGGAAAAATGTGCAATGACAATCGCCCAAAGTGGTAGTGACTTCAAGATGGACACCCATGGCACCACCTTCTGGGAAGAAAGCTGAGGGAGACAGGCTCAATTAGGGGAAGCTGCGGCTGTGTTGACCTATGCCATATTAGCTCAACCACACGCCATATTAGCTACAATCAGCCCAGAGCACAGAACACCAAACTTGGTTGTACATTCTAGATCATAAAATCAACTCCTTTGAAATGCTAAGTAGCAAAACAATTAACAAATTTCAGTTGTTTCATTAAAAATATAAACTAGAGGACTATGGCTGAGATTAGAGGAAAAGATAAATATAGTATAGTAGAGTTATAACTGTCATGAAGCTACAGGTGTCAGTGCTGCTATAAATATGAACACTTCTGTAAAAGAGAGAACAGTGTCATTACCACAGTTAGAGGCTGATTGACATAAGGGAAAAGTAGAGAGACTGGAAGATCTTACTAGAATCTGTATTTCACTATCCAGTCTTTGCTATACTGAAAAGATTTACAAGAACCGTGCAAGCTGGGTGTGGTGCTGCACACCGGCAGCCTCAGCTAATCAGGAGGTTTCAGCTGGAGGGTGACTTGAGCTTGGAGTCTGAGGCTAGCCTGGGCAGCATCGCCATCTCAGGGATGAAAACAGGTGAGGGCTTTATATGCAGCCACGTGCAGACGTGACCTTCAGAGCAGGGGGACTGGGGGTGATGCACTAGGTCAAAGGTTGGAGAAAAGGTTTAGCAGTTAAGAGTGCATATGTCTCCTGCAGAGTTCAGTCTCCAGCACCCACACTGGGTGGCTTACACTTTTCTGTAACTCCTGGGGACCTGACACCTCTGGCCTCCAAGGGAAACTGTACTCCCATGCATATTGATACACAGACAAATACACATAATTTAAAAATAGAAAAATAAATCTTAATTTAAAAAGATATGAGAATTTCTATTTATACTCATTTTTATTTTGAAACAGATGTTAAATTATCCATATATTTGTGTGTTTGTTTTTTGGAAAAAAGGTTTCTTTGTGTAACAGTCCTGGAACTCACTTTGGAGACCAGGCTGGCCTTGAACTCACAGAGATCTGCCTGCCTCTGCCTCCCAAGTGCTGGGATTAAAGGCGTGCGCCACCACCATTCAGCTTTAAACTATTAATATTTAATAAATGGGTTGGCCCAGAGTATGCTGGATAGTCACATGAGGTAGGATTCCCCAAGTCAAGGGCATTAATAATGGCATCCTCTTTGTTTGTCCTCAGGTTGTATTTGTCTGCTCAGATGGATTCATGGCTGTTTATGCTCTTAGTTCCTAGAATGACCTTGAGAAGAAATTAGTTTTAGTGCAGAAAGAATTGCACTTCCCCAGACAGTATTTTAGACATTTATTTCATTTGCTTATCCTAATTTGCTTAAGGCATATGTAACTGAAAGTTCTATTTCAAAGATTATCTTAATTTTTAACATGTACCAAAGTCCATACCTGATTTTTTAACGATGACACAATGTATTCTTTTTCATAATGGGAGATTGTCTTGTGAGTTTCTGGTGTATCACTAACTAGCCACATCCATAAAATAAACCAAACTATTCCAATTATACCTTAAAATAGAAAGATGACAGTTAAATAAAATTTGAATATATCAACAGTATTTTGTACACACCTTGAGAAGATTATATATCTATAAATGTAATGGAAAATTAGACTTAGTTTCAAGCTTTGGATCTTCAATAGAACAGTAACTATTATTCTCTGTGAACAGGGGGAATGATTTGAGACAGAGTCCTGGCTGGCTTGGTATTCACTATGAAGCCTAGGTTAAACCTGAACAATTCTCCTGCCTCAACTGCTGGGACGACAGGTATGTATGACCATGCACAGTCTCAAATACACTCTGATAATATACATCAATTACAAGACTCAGACAATCAAGGTCTACAGATAGACAGACTTTTGTTTGGATCTTAGTTTCCCAAGTGCCACTACTGCCATTCTTGGCTCAGAACAATCTTTAAAAAAAATAAATTTATATATATATATATATATATATATATATATATATATATATATATATGTGTGTGTGTGTGTGTGTGTGTGTGTGTGTGTGTGTGTGTGTACACACACACACTTATTTCATTGTGCTACTATAATTAATTCCAGAACATTTTCATAACAAAAAAGAAAACCTGTGACAATTAACAGTTAGTTCTCTTCCCATGCTCTGATGTTCAACTATTAAACCTACATTTTGTTGTCTCTATGAATTGTCCATTCTGGAAAAGAAAAATCTTTAAGAGTAAATTTCTATAACGCGCGCACACACACACACACACACACACACACACACACACACACACACAGAGTCTGTTTCATTTATTTTGAAGGTCTATTTCCTATGAGCCTGTCAATCAATTTGAGAAATGAAATGCCTTCACACTAAGGGAAAGGAAAAGAATTAAATCCCTGAGGCAAAGACCACTTTACTTTGCTTGGGAGAAAGTATTTTGTTCTTTTTTTTTTTTTGTTTGTTTTTTTTTTTGTTTTTCGAGACAGGGTTTCTCTGTGTAGCTTTGTGCCTTTCCTGGATCTTGCTCTGTAGACCAGGCTGGCCTGGAACTCACAGAGATCCTCCTGCCTCTGCCTCCCAAGTGCTGGGATTAAAGGCATGCACCACCACCACCCGGCTGAGAGAAAGTATTTTCAAAAGACATATTTTCCTAACTCCCAGATAGTAACTTTTCACAGTGTGACACTAAAGTCCCAGGATTCAACAGCAGTTTCTACAGACGCACATTGCAAAGCTAACAGGTCAAACTGGGCTAGATCCTGTCCACTGTAACAACCTGGGAAATAGGTTTTCGAACACTGGTTAGCAAGTGAGTCCTTCAGTGAGTTAGAGCAGGGCTTCTTATGCTTCTTCTACTTAAGGCCCATTTCCTCCTAAGAAATTTTTACACAGCTCTGTGTATACAGGAATATAAGACCATTATACAAATCAAATATTTACTGATAACAAAAGAAATTTATTTTAAGTTCTTTGTTATTCATATAATTTTACTACTTATGAAAGATACAAGATAATTTGCATACCAAGACAGATGTGTTTACTATCACATGAAGCATTAAATACTGGATGAGTATTTCACACTTGCAGTGTGCAGAGCATGATCAAGGCTTTTCAGAGTTGCCTTTGATCTTGCAATGGTCAATTCTCAGAACACCCCTTTGTGTATATGGGTAGTACAAAATGCAGAAGCATATTTAGTGCCATTTCAAAAATCATTGGGGACAGGTGTGGTGGCACACACCTTGAGTCCCAGCACTCAGAGGCAGAGGCAGGTGGATTTGAGGCCAGCCTGGTCTACAGATCTAGTTCTAGGACTATTAATAGTCAGGGCTATTACACAGAGAAACACTGTCTCGAAAAAAAAAAATTAGAAAGAAATTCATGATTCTTTCTTATGACTCTCAACTCAGTAATTTTTTTGTTTTGTTTTTTCGAGACAGGGTTTCTCTGTGTAGCTTTGCGCCTTTCCTGGAACTCGCTTTGGAGACCAGGCTGGCCTCGAACTCACAGAGCTCCGCCTGGCTCTGCCTCCCGAGTGCTGGGATTAAAGGCGTGCGCCACCACCGCCCGGCTTGGTTTTTTCAAGACAGGGTTTCTCAAGCCTTTTCTAGAACTCACTCTGTAGCCCAGGCTGGCCTTGAACTCACAGAGATCCACCTCTACCTCCCGAGTGCTGAGATTAAAGGTGTGCGCCACCCCTGCCTGGCTCTCAGTGATTCTTTTTTTTTTTTTTTTTTTTTTTTCCGTTTTTCGAGACAGGGTTTCTCTGTGTAGCTTTGCGCCTTTCCTGGGACTCGCTTGGTAGCCCAGGCTGGCCTCGAACTCACAGAGATCCACCTGGCTCTGCCTCCCGAGTGCTGCGATTAAAGGTGTGCGCCACCACTGCCTGGCTCTCAGTGATTCTTAAAATCACACACTTAGATCCAGTCCAAAGGTACTGCGATTTGATACATGCTGAAGAATTACAGCCGGAGAAGAGTGTCTTTTGTTTTCCATAATAAACTACCATGTTTCTAGAACAGCAGAAAACTGCACGCACAGTGAAAACATACAGTGCTCTCGAATCTGAGCCGAGGTGTTTCAGGCAGCCTTCATCAGTACCGTGTGGTGCCGCAGCACGCATGTCCAAAGCACTCTTTCCCTCGGAACCTCGGCTGTGGTGAAGTCGGGACACAACGTGGGCTCGTGCTGCCGGAAGCACCTCAGACTCCTTACATGTTTGACTTTGAACGAACGTTTGGTCACTGGGTGTTCAGGAGCCCTCTACTAAATTCTTACGAACTCCCATGTTCAGTTATGAAATCTCTAAGTTAGAAAGTTGGGAGACAGACTCACATTTAAATGTAGTCCACTACTATTACATTCTGAATTTACATTATAACGTAGTCAAAAATTTATACTTACCAAAAAGATAGAAGACATAAGTCCAATCCATATAGTAGCAAATTATTCCAGAGAGAGGAAGTGAGATTACTGTCCCAAGCTGTGCTCCTGGATCAACACAGAAGACTTCATAAGCCTTGGCCAGAGGTGAGCAAACGGAAGGGCTACTGTTTAGGGGTGGGGAAGAGCATACAGGACAGGAAGAACTACTGCATTAGAGCCGGCTACATGCAACAGAAAATCCCACAGGGCCATGCTCTGGAAAATGTGACGCATATGCACTAGTACGGCCGCATAAGCTTCAACTGTGCAGATGTTGATGAATAGGAGGTACCAATCAGTAGAACTGCACAGAGTGGTACACAGCGCTAGAGAGGCTGATGGAGGCTCGTGGGTATGGGCACGCTTGTTGAAGTAAGAGCGAGGTTTTTCATAATTTTATATACTATAAACAACTGTTTCGTAAATAATACATTTTAACCAGAAAATGGAGGACATTTCAGTTAAATGCAGTGGGAGCGGAAATAATAGTTTGTGTCCTTTTCTCTTCTGTAACTGGGACAGGATTGTACCCTGGAGCCCAGGCTGGTCTTGAACTCACTATGTAGCTCAGGCTAGCTTCAAATTTACAGAAATGTTCTTGCCTCAGCTTCCCAGATGCTGGGATTACAGATGTGAACCACTTTTACTTTTAAAGACTGGGTCTCATGTAGCCTAGGGTAGCCCTAATCTCCAGATGTAGCTAAGGATGCCCTTGTACTCCTAATCTTCCTGCCTCCACTTCTGAAGTATGGGAATTACAGATACATGTTACCATTATCTGGCTTAGACATTATTTCTGATCCCATATTCTAGTCATAGGTAGGAGACAGATATAAACCAAATGACTTCCATATTAGGAAGTGTAAGAACCACAGAGCAATGTAGAGTTCAAATATGACAGTGATTTCTGACCTCTCAAAGTGAGGGAAAGATGTACGGAACAGCAACCAGACTTTGAAAACATGGCTAAGATTCAGTCCCAGAGCAACTAAGAAAGACACTAAGAAAGTAGTGACAGCTGGGCGCAATGGCACACGCCTTTAATCCCAGCACTTGGGAAGCAGAGGCAGGTGGATCTCTGAGTTTGAGGCCAGCCTGGACTACAGGGCAAGATCCAGGACAGCCAGGGCTACACAGAGAAACCCTGTCTCGAAAAACCAAAACCAAGAATCAAACAAGAACAGGAAGCAGTAACAGGATGAACAGGAAAGCGGACAATGGCTCTGGGAGCTTCACGTGGGTAAAGGAAAGGCACAGAGATAAAGCCTGAAAAACTGTACGGTCACCGAGTACTAGTCTGCCCTCTCCACGTCTCCTTGAATGTACTTCTTCCACACAGAGACCCTGGTGGTATGAGCCCTCACTGTCCAATGCGAGGTAGTGTGCTAACCAGTCACAGTCGACAGGCTTCCAATATCTCAGTGGTTGCTCATGTGCGATAAAGTAGATGCTGTTCCCTGAAATTAGCTCCTTGAGGTTTATCTCCTCACCTTTACCGACCCACAAGCATTGCTGTCTTGTCAGGGGATGCCCCGGTAATGACGGCACACACACTCAGACATACACAACACACACATAAAATTAAGAGCACAAACTGTTTCTTCTACAGAACCTGAATTCAACTCCGAGTGACCACACCAGGCAGCTCACAACTGCCTATAACTCCAGCTCCAGGGGATCTGATGCCTTTGTGGACATCTGTACTCATGTGCATATGCACTCAGAAACACATGCACGCTTTTAGTCCCAGGACTTGGGAAGCAGAAGCAGGCAGATCTCTATGAGATCAAGGGTAGCTTGGTCTACATAGTGAATTCCAGGCCAGCTCAAGATATATAGTGAAACCCTGTCTCCAAACAAACAAACAAACAAACAAATAACAAAAGACCCAAAACCAACAGACCAAACAACAAAATCACAATTAAAGAACAAAACCAATTTTTCCATCTACTGAACTATTTTATAAATTCCAACATTTGAAAAGACAAAACATATTTTGAGATAAATGATAGTACATAGAGGAAATGGTATTAGTCAACCATGGCCAATTATTCTCTTCCTGAGCCAAAGAGGAAAAACTGAGAGTCAAGGTGTACCCTTAGAAAGTTATTTCCCCCAGGAAGAGGCATCTACACTGAGTGATTCTGGCATGCATGTACCTTTCTCAAGGCTGGTACGTATGTATCAAATTACAACAAAAGCTTTATCAGGATAGTTATCTTACCTGCGTAGGAAATGGTAAGCAGCTTGCTTCTTTCAAGAGGGGGAGCCCAGGAAGACCACATGGCATGCATAGCTGGAAACGTAACACCCTGGGGGTGGATATTTCTGATGAAATACAAGGCAGCTTCAAAATCAGACAGAAAAGATAAAAGTTGCTGACCTAGCTTTATGGATGAGGCGTGTGGTATGTACAGAAAGAATGGTAAAAGATGAGAGAATCTAAGTACAAACACCATTGAAATTCTGTTGAAAGCTCCAGGGGCCATCTGTGACAGCAGCAGAGACAACAGACTACAATGTTAAACATCCACAGACAGGAAACCACACCAGGAGAATAGTTCAGCAAAGAGACAGTCACCGGATCAGAAGCAACAGACTACAAATAAATACATTTTACTTAGGTAAGGAGAAAAAATAAACAAACAAACCTGGGGGCTGACAGAGGATAATAGGATTTACTTTGTAACCAGGACGGAATTGTTTAATAGACATCTGTGAGGACTGCTATTTGGATATGGATGATAAGAACATGCAAACTACTAACAGAACTTTAAGCCACTGGTGGTGGTGTACGCCTTTGATCCCAGCACTCAGGAGGCAGAGGCAGGAGGATCTCAGTGAGTTCCAGGCCAGCCTGGTCTACAGAGTGAGGAGTTCCAGGATAGCCAGCGTTACACAGAGAAAACCCGTCTAGGGAAACAAAACAAAACAAACAAAAACACCTTTAAAATTAGACGTTGGGGCCAGGTGTGGTGGTGTATGCCTTTAATCCCAGCTCAGGAGGCAGAGGCAGGTGGATCTCTGACTTTGAGGAAAGCCTGGTCTACACAGTGCGTTCCAGACACACAGAGCTACATAGGTAGACCCTGTCTCAAAAACCCAAAAATAAAATAAAGTAAAACTAGAGCCCGGAAATCTCCAAAGCCTTCCAGCCAATTTCACCATATATAAGCTGTGTATGATTCCTGTGATTGAGGATGGGCAGTTACTTAAGTCTCAACTATTAAAATGACGAAGCTGAGGATTAGGGATTAGGCTTTACCCAATGTCTGACTGTGACCGTGGAACTTCTGTTCCAAGGCCAACGTTTTCACTCCAACATCCTCTCCAGTGCACTACTGGATGAGGCTACCTCCCAGCCGTTGTGAGCTCTGCAGACCTAGAGCCGCCTTGTACCTGAGTTAAGGCTCTTAATCACTGAGCAGCTCTCCAGCCTGGAGAGCGTTAATTATTCAAGATAGAGAGATAAAAAAAGAAGCATGGAGAGGAAAAGAAAGACAGAAATTAACAGATTTCTGAGTGGGGCTGTGGGGTCAGCTCAGTGGCAGAGAATATTTGCAGCATGTGCAAGGCCCTGGGTTTGATTCTCTAGTACTGAAACAAAATCAAGTAAGAAAAAAAAAAAAAAACTAAAAATGGTGAAGGGCATAAAACAAATAGTAATATTTTATTTTATTTTATTTTATTTTTTTTTTGGTTTTTCGAGACAGGGTTTCTTTGTGTAGCTTTGCGCCTTTCCTGGAACTCGCTTTGGAGACCAGGCTGGCCTCGAACTCACAGAGATCCGCCTGGCTCTGCCTCCCGAGTGCTGGGATTAAAGGCGTGCGCCACCACCGCCCGGCTCAAATAGTAATATTTTTCACAGCATAAACGTTTAGAAGAATCCTTGATGTAAATTTGTATAGTTAGATAAAAATAATAAATTATTTGTCTCTAAGTTAGAAGACCAGAAAAAAAAAAAGAACTAATAATAGAGAGGAATTCCCGTAAATAACAAATTTAGTAAAATAAGGCAATTTTTTTTTTTTTTTTGGTTTTCAAGACAGGGTTTCTGTGTGTAGTTTTGGTGCCTGTCCTGGATCTTGCTCTGTAGACCAGACTGGACTCGAATTCACAGAGATCCACCTGGCTCTGCCTCCTGAGTGCTGGGATTAAAGGCAGGCGCCACCACTGCCCGGCAAAATAAGGCAATTTAACAACATGTTTTGTAAAATGTGCCAAAACAGAGGCTGGAGAGATGACTCAGGAGTTAGGAGCACTGGCTGTCCTTCCAGAGGACCCAGATTCAGTTCTGCCACCCATATGGTGGCTCACAACTGCTTGTAACTCCAGTTCGAGGAATTCAATCCCTTCTGGTCTCCAAAGGCACTGCACTCATGTGCACACAGACACACAGAGACATACACATAATCAAAAACAGTACATCTTTTTAAAAAGTGCCAAAATGTATGTGTGTATGGTTAAGTGTGGGCCATCTCAGCCACTGTGACGGGAAATAAGCCCATTTCCCTGTCTTCTGAAGCATGAGCTACTTACTGTCTCCCTTAGAAAATGTTCTCTCATCTGGAAACCGCTCACTGCCTAAGGGCACTGTTAACACCCACTCGGTGGCTAGCAGCCACTGCAATCCAGTTCCAGGAGATCTGACGCCCTCTTCTGGCTCCTACAGGCACCTGCACTCACATCATGTACACACGTACATGCAGACGAAACACTTATCCATATAAAATAAAAATAAACAAATCTTTAAAGGCACGCAGGACAGAGGAGGAGATAAAGAATAAGAAGTAGATCAAGAACCCAAGTCCTCACCTCTCCTAATCCTTCCAGGGCTCTTAGCACAATGAGGGGCACCACTCCCAAGTCTGCAGCCATGGGTGTGAACAGGGTCAAGACAGCAGTGCCCAGGATGCCAAGGCCCAGCAGCAGCTTGCCTCCAATCCTGCTGGCCATGTACCCCCCAGGAATCTGTGTGATGATGTAGCCGTAAAAAAAGGAGCCAAGAATCCATCCTTGAGTTTCTGCATCCCACTGGTACTTTTTACCCTGTGAAAAAAGCAGAGAGAAGAACAATCTTTCCGACTTTGAAATTCTGAACTATTGTTTTGGACTGCAGAACATGCAAGCTGTGCTGTTTGTTTGTTTGTTTGTTTGTTGTCAACTTGACACAAGCTAGGGTCATCTGGGAAGAAGGAACCTCAATGGAGAAAATGCTGCCATCAGACTGTAGGAGAGTCTGTGGCATTTTAATGATTGATGACTGATGTGGGAAAGCCTAGGCTACTGTGGACAGGTGGGCTATAAAGAACAAGTTGAACAGGTTGTGGGGGAATTCCTCTGCGGCCCCTGCTTTGGTTCCTGCCTCAGGCTTCCTACCTTGAGTTCCTGCACCGACTTCCCCTCATGACGGACTGTGAGCTGTGAGATGAAATAAATGCTTCCCCCCCCCGCAAGCTGCTTTCTGTCGTGGTGTTCATCACAGCAACAGAAACCTAACTAAGACAAGCAAGCTTTCTAAGGCAGGTGGACCATGACAACATGCAGTTTCCAGAAGCGAGTGGGCAAGAACTGAAAGCCATGAACTTCTAGAAGCTTGCTGTTCTGTGGCACTAAACTAGAAGAGGGGATGCTGAGGCTATCACAGCCCTGACTGAGAAGATTCAAGAAAGAGCCCCGGGCTTGGGGTGGGCTGTGGTGACATATGCCTTTAATGTCAGCACTCAGGAGACACAGGCAGAGGTAGCTCTCTATTATGTCTGGTCTATATAGTACTATACAGCGAGTTCCAGGACAGCCAAGGCTATGTAGATAGACCCTGTCTCAAAAACAAAACAAAACAAAACAAAAGAACCTATTCAACAATGTCTTGGAGAAACTACTTACTAAGATATAAAACAATCCAGCTTTCTGAGGTACCAATGAAGTTTCTTCAAATTCTCCTCAGGAAACTGAAAAAGGACTTTCCAAACAGATCAATGTACGTGGTAGCTATACATCTTATAACTGTAAGTTAACTAACTGTTCAACTAACTCCCAAGAAAACAGAAAGAGATCTTAACCCGGGGAGAATACACACAAATATTTTGGTTTCTTTCTGATAAAGGCATATTTTTCCCATTATTTTTACTACTAAGCATTTCAGTATTAATCAATTTTTTTTTGTTTTAAAATAGCACTTACTGTATGATTGTGGTGAACTTTTATGGGAGCAGAATGTTCTGGACACTCCTTGGAAGTTCTATTATCGGTCAGAGTTGTATTTGAATCTACCATGTCCACCAACGCAACACTCAGGTTCACACGTAACGAATAAAGAACGAAAAAACCAAAGAAGGCCAGAACCGCTAAGTTGTAACGAGCAGAACAGCATGCTGGAGCTGAAATGAAGGTTGGGAGAAAACTTTAAATCATATGATCTCTAAATAGTGAAAGGAAAAAACATTTAAATTTTATTTATTTGTTTTTTCAAGACAAGGTTTCTCTGTGTAGCTCTGGCTGTCCTGGGCCTCTCTTTGGAGACCAGGCTGGCCTCAAATTCAGAGATCTGCCTCCCTCTGCCTGCTGAGTGCTGGGATTAAAGGAATGCACTACCATACTCCAAAGACTGATTTATTTTTTATCTTATGTATGTGTATTTTGCCTGTATATATTGGTGTACTGTATGTGTGCCCAGTGCCCACAGAGGCCGGATGAGGGTATCAGATCCCCTGGAACTGGAGTTATGAACCGGTTGTTAGCAGCCATATGGAGGATGGGAACAGAACCCAAGTCCTCTGCAAGAGCAATTAAGTGCTTTTAAACTACAGAGTCAGTGCTCCAGTCCCTCCCAAAGGCAATTTGTAAAGAAATATCCAAACTACTAATCAGTACTTTTTTGAATAGTCTCAGATTAAGCATGCCTACACAGATTTGTCCAAAGATAATTTATTCCCTCTTACCCATAGTTTTAGTAAAAATTCAGCTGATGGAAGATGTGGCATGAGAAAAATAGGTAAGGGTTTAAAAGCCTCACTATGCCTTTCCCTCTGTAACTGTAAGCAAGCCCTCAACTGAATGCTGTCTTTTCTAAGAGTTGCCTTGGCCATGGTGTCTGTTCACAGCAATGGAAGAGTGATTAAGTCATGCTCCCAACTGTTGACTCGTCTCTCCAGCCACCAGAAAAACGTTCATTTGGTATTCCTGAGTCCTTTTTCAAGGCTATAGCTATTGTCCTATGGTGCTACTAGACTAGGTAGATACAAACCTATGAGAATTGTATTTCTAAGACTCTAGTCAAGTCTATCATTTAAATTTGAACAGTTTTGGTTGTGAGCCTAGCCTTTAACGGCGGCGGTGGTGGCGCACGCCTTTAATCCCAGCACTCGGGAGGCAGAGCCAGGCGGATCGCTGTGAGTTCGAGGCCAGCCTGGGCTACCAAGTGAGTTCCAGGAAAGGCGCAAAGCTACACAGAGAAACCCTGTCTCGAAAAACCAAAAAAAAAAAAAAAAAAAAAAAAATTTGAACAGTTTGCTGTTCGTTCCAATCAAATGGATACCTCAAGGTGTGCACTACAGAAGAACACATTCCATCACTACTTTTTTTTTTTAAGATTTATTTATTTATTTATTATGGATATAGTGTATACTGCATGCCAGAAGAGGGCACTGGATTTCATTATAGATGGTAGTGAGCCACCATGTGGTTGCTGGGAATTGAACTCAAGACCTCTAGAACAGCCAGTGTTCCTAACCTCTGAGTCATCTGTCCAGCCCCATCACCACTTTATCAGGCTACATTATATGGGTGTTTGGAAGCAGAAGTCTAATCTCAAATTTGGGCAATTAAAATGTATCATTTTAGCCGGGGGGTGGGCGAGGAGGGTGGCATACACCTTTAATCCCAGCACTCAGGGAGGCAGAGGCAGGTGGATCTCTGTGAGTTCAAGGCCAGCCTGGTCTACAGAGTAAGTTCCAGGACAGCCAGAGAACCATGTCTTGAAAAACCAAAACAACAAAAAAAAAGTGTTACTTTAAATAATTGGGGAAGTGGGCAGGTTTGAGTAAATTTAAAGGAGAAATTAATAGTCCTCGACTAAATGCTAGATGTGGGAGTAAAAGGGAGGGATGAAGGATAATTAATCCTCTTGCTCTCAACCATTTTATGTTACTCTTGCTTGTAATACCATTATTCCATTCCATCCCATTTTTTATACACCTATCTTTTTTTTTTCAGAGCTGAAGACCCAACCCAGGGCCTTGCGCTAGCTAGGCAAGCGCTCTACCACTGAGCTAAATCCCTAACCCCCACCTATCTCTTTTATTGTATGCTATTAATTTTCCTTAGGTAATGCTTGATTTGGACTATAATATACTTTATTACTCGTAGCACGCTTTCTTGGACCTGCCAGCCCCAAATCATGACACGAAGAATTATTACTAATTATGAATGCTTGGCCTTAGCTTAGGCTTGTTTCTAACTAGTTTTTTTTTTTTAACTTAAATTAACCCATTTCTATTAATCTATGTGCTGCCCCAGGGCTCATTTACTTCATCTACATACTGTCCATCCTGCTTTCCTGTTTCCTCTGTGTCTGACTGTCTGTCCCCTGTCTGTCTGTCTGCGGGCTGGCTGGCCCCTGGCAGTCTGGCCCCCTTTTCTCTCTGTCCACCAGCCTCACCTATCCCTCCTCTGCCTAGCTATTGGCCATTCATTTTTTTATTAGAGCAATTAGGTGCCTTAGGCAGACAAGGTAAAAAGCAACACATCTTTACATAGTTAAACAAATATTCTATTCCATAACAATCACTCTTTTCCATCTCAATTTTTCTTATAGTCCCCCCCCCCTTTTTTTCTTTTTGGTTTTTCGAGACAGGGTTTCTCTGTGTAGTTTTGGTGCCTGTCTTGGATCTCACTTTGTAGACCAAGCTGGCCTCGAACTCACAGGCGTGGCTTATAAGCCATTTTATCATGTGAGTAAGATGTCGGTCTAGAGGTTGGGAAGTAAAAGAGGTGGAGAAAGAGCTGGCAACACGGCTCAGCGGGTAAGGCGCTAGCTTGTCTGGTCACTGAAACATGAGGAGAACCGACCTACAAGCTGTCCTCTGATTCCCCATCCCCAGTGACAACAAAATAAATGTTTTTAAAAGGTAATCAAGGGGCTAGAGATGGTTCAGTGATTAAGAGGACTGACTGCTCTTCTAGAAGGATTGGGTTCGCTTTGAATTTGCAGCACCCACATGGTGGCTCATAATGGTCTGAAACTCCAGTTCTGGAGAATCCGATGCTCTCTTCTGCCCTTCATGGTTACCGTATACATATAGTGAACAGACATACATGTAGGCAAAACACTCATACACATAAAAAGTTATAGATCAGGCAACTTACACTTCTAAGGTACTGTCAATAATCAGAAAGTAAAATACATGACTATGAAGTTTAAAAGTTATACTAAGCTGGACGGTGATGGCACACGCCTTTAATCCCAGCACTCAGAAGGCAGAGACAGGTGAGTTCCAGTTTGAGGCCAGCTTAGTCTACAGAGTGAGTTCCAGGACATCCCAGGCAGTTACATAGAAACCCTGTCTTAAAAAAACAAAACAAACAAATAAAAAAAGTTATAGTAAAAATAAATTGATGCCAGGTTTATGAAAATGGCTGTGACTGTAAATCTATTTAGTCAGAAATATTTTTAGAAAGTAACATGTGCCTAGGAATTTGGCTACTCTGTGAAATTGATCCAAGGTAAAACAAGCTTGCGTGGCAGAAAGAGCCGGTCCACTGGATACCCACCACACTGAGTTCAAAGCAAGATCATGCTTGCATAACGAACAGAGCACTCATCAAAACAAACACCAGCTTCTAAACCACGCTTTATAAACACAGGAATGTGGAGTGGGTGTGACTGAGAACAAAGGGAAAGACCCAGGGTGGACTCTCAGCTCTGGCCGTGTGTTTACAGAGTTACTTAGAGTGAAGTAACAACCCTCTCATTCCCAAGGTTTTCAGTTCTATCTGTGGCGGGGAGGGCTCTGCTCCCATTTGGAAAGTACATGTGACCTTTCCCATAAGCATGGGTCCCATAGGCTGAGAAACAAAGCTCAAGATAAAGGTGTCAAGATAAAGGAGGAAGAATCTCAGATAAACATAAAAGCCTGGGGGAGTCAGGTGTGGCCTGGTCCTACTGGTCACCAGGCTATTAACTATATCCAATCCCAGATTTCTGGGCAGAAAACAGGTTATACACCTCTCCCTCTGAAGAGACAAGCCTGAGTGCTTAATAACCCTGGTTTCCCTAGTGCTTACCTATGAGCACAAAGACCTCGAATCCTCTACATTGCCCTACTTCTAAGTTTTTAAAGAAAAAACAATGGGCTGTAATAGAGGTCATGGCTAAATACAATGCCTCTAAGACTAGTCTAATTAATATAGGCAAGCATAAGAGCATTTTAAGAATAACTAACAAGCCGGGCGGTGGTGGCGCACGCCTTTAATCCCAGCACTCGGGAGGCAGAGCCAGGCGGATCTCTGTGAGTTCGAGGCTAGCCTGGGCTACCAAGTGAGTTCCAGGAGAGGCGCAAAGCTACACAGAGAAACCCTGTCTCGAAAAACCAAAAAAAAAAAAAAAGAATAACTAACAGAGGCCGGGCGGTGTTGGCCCACGCCTTTAATCCCAGCACCCGGGAGGCAGAGGCAGGCGGATCTCTGTGAGTTCGAGGCCAGCCTGGTCTAGGAGTGAGTTCCAGGACAGCCAGAGCTACACACAGAGAAACTCTGTCTTGAAAAGCAAACAAACAAACAGAATAGCTAACAGAGGACCAAGGAAAGGGGAAAGGCACCTTAACTATGATGTCCTTTCAAAGGTCACTTGAGAGATTTTTTGCCAATCTCTATGCAAATCATTGCTTTGACCCTCCATAGTATGAGAAAAATCTGACATATTAAAGCAACACACACTAGGAAATTGTTAATAACCAAGATTGTGTTTGAGCAACAAATAATTTATAGTAGCTCTGTTTTTGTAAAATTGTGGTTCTCAAATCACCCATCTCTTGATTAATTTCTGTTAATATTTTCTTGTAATATTGATAGTTTTACTAATCACACAGGTCATCTTTGAGACCTCTCTTTTGTATATGAGTAATCATTCCTGAGATTGGCAATAAAAAAAGTCTATAAACAATCCTTAGCATGACCAAACAATATCATACTGTCTCCTACTACAGGTGTCTTTTTTTATCCCCCAACAAAAAGGCATTTGGATTCTGCATTAACAAGCTGAGAATTAACATGCAATTCAGTCGGTAACACAACAGCATCATTTTTGGGTCAACAGTATTATAATCTTGTTGCTTCCTCAAAGTCTGGGCCTGATGAGTTAGTCTTGCTGTCTCCCCAAGTT